AAGCCAGTAATGAAAGTGTTAGTGGCTCAGTCACGTCTGACTCTTTGCGAACCCCTGGACCTTAGCCCTCCAGGCTCCTCTGTCCATGAGATTTTCCAAGTAAGAACACTGGAGTGGATTGCCATTTCCTTTTCCAGGGGATCTTCCCAACCCAGGGATCAAACCCAGGCCTCCTGCATTGCAGGCAGACTCTTTACCATCTGAGCTACCAGGGAAGCCAGTAGGGATAATGAATATTTGACAAGTTCCCAGCAGTCCCAGCCACAGACTCCTAGATGAGAGTTCTCTAACACAGCAGGGATTTCTGTAACATAAGAGAAACGTTAGAGATTTCTCTAACATTCCTTACTTATTTGGCAACCAGAACAACCTGTGGCATGCTGAGCATGCTCAGAAACTGGTAGAAGGACCTCTGAGTAAATGAATGGATGAAATCTTTCTATCACTGGTATGGTTACTTCCCTCTTATCTCTAACAAGGAACAATCCTGTTAAATAGTCCAAAGTATCATGCAGGGGCCCAGGCTGTATTGAGTCTACAAAGATAAAGAAAGCAAAACTTTAGAAAAACTTTAAAATCTATCTTAGAAATAATATATATTCAGACTTGCCTACAATATTATATATATGATTAAGCAAATTGTTCTGGGAACCTTTAAACAAAAGAGGGCCTGCAAAAGCCAGATAATAAACTGAAAATGGCTTGTTTATTTAGAACCTGACATATGTGTTGTTTGTATTATATATTTCAGTTTGAGTATAAAATGCTACTATCTGTACAAATTGCACATAATTTCAAAGAGATGCAAATGGCACCCTCAGAGAACCTAAATTTATAAGACCAAAGTATTTTCACGTATGAGGCAAATATACAAATGCATTCTATAAGAAAGCTGTATTTTCTGTTTTTCTTAAGTGTGAATATCTTTAAAAAGTAGTGCTTCTCTGTAGACTTTTTATGTTAGAGCTCTAAGATCTATGTGAATCTTAAGCCTTTATTTTTTTGGATGTATCTCTCAGAAAAAGATAAATCAGCTATGAAACTCTTTTATTTGGAAATTATATGAGCTCTTACCTTCCACTAAAATGTGAAAGTTCTTATAATTAAGGCTTACTTTTAAAAAACAACCTTTAGGAATTGGAGCTGCCAAAAAAAGTAATATCTATGTCTATATCTATCTCTCTCTACATATATACATACATGCACAGTCATGCCCAACTCTTTGCAACTCCATGGAATGTAGCCTACCAGGCTCCTCTGTCCATGAAATTTTCCAGGCAAAAATACTGATGTGGGTTGCCAATTCTTACTCCAGAGGATTTTCCTGACCCAGGGTCAAACCCATGACTCTTGTGTTTCATGAATTGGCAGGTGGATTCTTTACCACTCGGCCACGTAGGAAGCCTATCTATCAATAGATATCAATAGATAGATAGATACACACAGATGTATACATATGTATGAAAAATGAAAGAGACATCATGTATGAAAACTGAAGACATTTCTTTCCTGACTCTGTTTCCATGAAGTTGATGGAGTGATTATGGTTGAGTTTTGTTTCAAGATGATAGAAAACACCATAAATCTTTTTAAACCTCAGGAAAAACAATGAAAATTCTCATAAAGTGGAAAATAATATGCAAAAAGTGAAAAGGAGTTACCATTTAAAGACTCAAGAAGTATGCAAAGAGAAACTCAGTAATAGTTGATAAATGATTATTCTTCACCACCATATGATTTTTGATAAAGTGTGGAAAACTCCAGATTTCCTGTTGAAAAATTACCTGGATTTCAAGTTTTTAAAATTCTAGTCATGTGCTTTCTTTTGTTAAGTCTCAGATTCAAACCTGGAAACATAAGGCATGACTGGGATTTGTTTTTTCCCACTGAATGAGATCTGATTTATACTTTATCCTTAAAAATGCATTACTCTGATCTGTAAAATAAGCATAGAAAACACATATGCATGATTATGCATTTGTGCATTAGTGTGCATGCGCCTGATGTACATATAGTTATTTATAGGTTGATAGAAACAACTTTCTCCAGATCTGATCTTTTCCTTCCTGACAATCACACTAAAGAAACTTCATAACTAACCACACCATCCGTGGTTAAGACTGGAAAAAAAAAAAAAAGCCAACTTAATCCATTTTTGTCTGTATAGCTTTCGCTCATTTAAAAATGAGGGAAAACACATAGTGCTATGAAAAATTTTCAATAAAATGCCCCATCAACTCTGATCCCAATGTGATACTTCATCATAGGGCTAAATAGTATATGAAATTCCAAATGTTTGCTTCACCTCAGTGTTGAAAAAAACTCCAGAATTGGTAGTGATGCACCAGAACCCTTCTCCTTTCCAAGATAATGTGGGGTAAAGGCGGGATGGAATCAGTTATTACTCATTTTAATTATAGTCTGTGACAATGTTAAGTATTTTAAGTTTCATGTAACACTGCACCTGGCCACAATATATATTTAGAAAAGTTGTGTGGAACAAATGACTAAATGTTATGCACCAAGTCTGAAAAGTGTAGAAAATTATACCAGCCTTCTTAAATCTTATGAGACCAAAGAAAAATTTTTTCTCAGGAACTGCATAAAGAGTCAATGTCCCCAGGTTAATTTTAATAGTGAATTTCATAAGGTGGTGTTTTATCCCCCTCAATAGAAGCAGATGATACCTTGTCAATTATCTGCATTCAGCCCAGCAGAAATAACATGGAGACTAAAAAGAGCAATCCCAGTGTGTAGCTTTCTCATCATCTAATTTAATCTGAGGGCAAAATTTGGATTACCTAAGGCAGGAACTTCTAAAATTTAGTATGCATAAGAGTTACATGAAGTGATTATAAGAAGAGATATTTCCAAGGCTTTGATCCTAGAATCCCTGATTTGATGGGTTAGAACAGAGCCCCTAATTTTTTAAAATAAATTATTTCTGATAACACTTGATAAACACTGATATGTAGAAAGAGTGACCATATCCTTATTTCACAGATACCAGTTTTTGACAATAAATGGCAACCAGGGACTTTGAGATCATACTCAACTGCAATAAACAAGAGTGCAGAGATTCCATTTTGCTGATTAAGAGTAAACATGCACATTTTAAATTTAAACAGAGTAGAGATTTGGATTGATAATTAGAAAACTATTTTGGAACTAACAAGGATATTTGAGTAAATAAGAACCTTGCATTATTTCAAGTTAAGAGTTTCATTAGAAAATATATCAAATATTCATCACTTTACAAATGCATGGATCATAAAAGTACCATGAGTCCATGCCATAAAATCTGGGCACAAGTTTAGTCCTTTAAAATTTTAAAAACAGGTGATTGTAATTGCTTAATATAACCATGAAATAAAAAGATTCAGTAAAGACTCCACAAATCAAGGACAACCATATATCTGTGTATGTGTATACAACCATACATTAAATAAATTGGTTGATGCAATATATTATAATTTTAATAGCCATTTAACTTTTGGAGGACTATGTTCAAAAATTTTAGAACATTTTATTATGAACCACTGTTTCTATAAATAAAGACTAGAATCAACAATTGAGACCACTTTAAGTTTTAAAAATGGCAAAAGCATAAAACTATATATATATATTTCTCTTTTGTCAACTTTGAAAATAGGAAAATGTGCATATACACATATGTATGCATTTTATAGGCACATGCATTTTATGTGTTTATAACAATATACAGATCAAAATAATGTAAAGCTATGAAATTCATGAAGTCATGAGTTTAAAAAACATATTTGTCCTCTCAGATTTTTTATTTGGCCTGCCAGAAGATAGTTGCTATTGACTCTGAAGCTTTTGAGAATATTAAGGTCTTTATAGGAATCATTTTCTGCCTGGTCTCCATTGACACCAAACAACTTAGATACTGGTGGTCTCGGAGGGTCAGAGTCTAGGGGAAGATCAATAAAAGCTGCAAACAACCTTATGTTATTTTAACAGAATTCACAAGGTGAGAGAAAATAGAATGTGCCTCTCAACTGTTGACTTGTGTGCCTGGACTCATAGATTAAAAGAAGAAAGACCCAACTAACTTTTAACGTTTAAAATAAGGAAGGCATCAGGGATACATTAACCTGCATGCTTAAGAATAATTATGAGAAATTTTGATGCACTCTCCTCTCAATTACCTCTTTTTTTTTAATTAGTCTTATTTACTCCAGCTTTATTAAGGTATAAATGTCAAATTAAAAATTATATATGTAAGGCATACAATGTAGTGTTAGGTATACCTGTGCAGTGATGACCACAATCAAGCAAATTAACATACACATCACCTTAAAGAGTTACTAATTTGAGGGTATGTGTTAAGAACACTTAAGATGGAGAGGGTGTGGGGAAAAAGGGAACCTTCGTACCCTGTTGGTGGAAATGTAAATTGATATAGCTATCATGGAAAACAGTATGAAGCATCCTCAAAAATTAAAAATAGAACTATCGTGTGATCCATAAGTCTCACTGCTGGGTATATATTCAAAGGAAATGGAAATGGGATATGTGAGATATTTGTACTCCAATGTACATTACAGCATTATTCACAATAGCCAAGATAAGGAAATAATCTAAGTACTCAAAGGTTAAAAGAATAAAGAAATATGTACACATATATATGTACAAACATTATATATATATGTACATTTATACACATATATATGCACACATAGTGAAATATGTGTGTACATATTTCATTATTTTCATCCTTAAGGAAAATGTCATTTGTGATCATGTGAATGAATTTAGATGTATTACATGAGGTAAGATAAACCAGATGCAGATAAATAATGTGCAATATTGCTAATAAATAGAATATAGCAAAGTTGACCTTAGAGGAGGAGCAGTATGGGAGTGGTGGGCGTCTGACAGAAATAGGGAGATGTTAGTCAAAGTGTGCAAGCGATCAATGAGATGAGTAAGTTCTTGAGATCTAGTGTAAAAAATGGGAACTAGAGTTAATAATATATACTTGAAATTTTCCAAAAGAATAGATTTTAAGCATTCTCATCCACCTCTTGAACCACGGGATTATCTGGCAGCTCCAGTTACAAAGCTGTGCACCAGATCATCTGCTGTGGATACAATTGGCTTTCAGCTCTTACAGTCATCCTTGTAAAGCAGTACTGTAGGTCTCAGAATGCTATCTCAAATTTAGCCAAATCCAAATTCGTAATCTTCCCCCATCCAAACTCAGTCCTTCTAAGACTTTCCCACTTTCAATGTAGGTTCTCCATCAAGTGATCATCAGTTTGCGATCATAAAAGCCAGAGGATAAACAGTCATTAGAAATAAATGGAACCTGAAACAAAGCAACAGAAGAAAATTATCATTAATGTCCTTGAAGTAGAAAAATGTTCACATATGCAAAAATGTAGTGTGAAAATAAACAAAATATTGTGGGAAAAATCACTTAAATTGAAAATGTAATAGTAGCATGAAAAAATAATAGAAGGATTGTAAAAAAAAAAAAAAAAGTAGATGCTTAGAAAACAGCATGCTAACAATGCTCAGAAAATTAAAAGATAAACAAATTGAAAAGAAGAAATAACTGGAGGTCAATAAAGGAAATTTGTATCAAGCTAATAAGAATTACTAAAAAATGTGAAACTACAGGAGAGAAAATTAAGAAATAGTATGAAGTCTTTTCTGTACTTTTCTGGTGACAGATGGTAGTGTATCTGCCTGCAATGCAGGAGACCTGGATTCGATCTCTGGGTCAGGAAGATCCTCAGAGAAAGAAATGGCTACCCATTCCAGTATTCTTGCCTGGAGAATTCCATGGACAGAGGAGCTTGGTGGGCTACAGTCCATGGGGTCACAAAGAGTGGGACATTACTGAGTGACTAAGCATGCACGCTTAAAGTTTTTTCTAGAACTTAAGGATAACCTATTCTACTTGGAAAGGACCCACTAGTCCCCAGTAAAAAAGAAAATACCACACCAAAATATTACTATGAACATGGAATCAGAAAACAAACAAGGTCTTAAGTTGAAAGAAAAAGTTTCTATACAAAGAATTAAGAACCAGAAAAGCATGAATATTTCAAGGAGTAACAGAAGCTAGAAGTCTCTGGGAAGACGTTTACAAGAAAATTAAAAGAATTACCCAATCTCATTACTAATGAAAAATTTGGATGGATAAATATTTTCAGACTCACAAATTCACCCAAAGTACCTCCCAATTACTCACGCTATTACTTGAGGTGACCTACACCAAAATGGAGGCATGTGCCCAGAAAGAGAATTGAGGAGACCTAAACCATGTGTAAGGCTAAAAGAATCTGCAAGATGAAAGCAGGGCAGGATGCCTATGGAACAATCCATCCAGATTAGAATAGGAAGAAGGGACATCAAGGAAAAAATGATGTGTTTGACAGGATGGATATGTTCCATAGTTCTTTCAGAAATTGGGACAATTAGTGATGAATTATGGTGAAAGCTAAGCTGATGAATAAGAGGAGTTCAATAAAATGTCTCCTACTTAAAAATCTTCTTAGCTGTCACAATTGAAATAATATTATGAGCTAACCATTATAAAAACAGAAGTATATGTGCATATGAAAGTGAAAGCATTGCTCAATCATGAATTCTCTAGGCAAGAATGCTGGAGTGGGTTGCCATTCCCTTCTCCAAAGGGTCTTCCTGACCCAGGGATTGAACCCAGGTCTTGCATATTGCAGGCAGAGTCTTTACTGTCTGAGACACCAGAGAAACCCCTATATATCTCTACATATATATGGATATATGTGTATATATATGTATATACATATATATGTGTGTGTAGATATGTATACATACAAGTGCTGGAGGGGTAAGCATCCAAGGCTATAAAAAGCTATATCTTTGTAAGTAGTATAAGTATATTAAAGGGAAATATGGGAAAATGGTGTCATAGAAGGGTGTGGAACTAACCCCCTACACACGCATGCACACACACACACACACACACATACAAAATCACAAAAAAATATATCTACACGTGGAACAATCCTCAGTGAAAACTAACTGGAAACTGTGGAAAGACTCCTAAGCAAACAGGTCTATAAGCAAGATCCACAGGGAACTGGTTGGAAGGGAAGAGAAGTGATTGAGTTAAAATCTGTGCCCCTGGGCAGGAGACTCAAAAAAAGGAGGATACATAGATGAAAACCCATCCTGGGGAGCAAGTGGTGAAAGCCAAGTATTGGGTCCTACCTCGGAAGAGGAGCCCCTTGGCTAGTTACAGACTTGCTGGAGCTAGCATGAGTGCAAGAGAAAGCCTAGACTCCACTCTGCCCACAAGGTTCATTGGTAGATGGAAGACTACTCCAGTAGCTGCTGGGTTTCCCACCACTGTCTTGGCACGTGCCACAGCCTGAGCTGAGCTGAACTCTCCAGCCCCACTTCACAACACAGCTCTGCACTGGACCTAGGGCTGCCTTAACAGAGGAGAGAGCTTTGCTGGTGCATATTGTGGTGATTTGGACATGAGGTGGCCCCCAAGCAGGGTGGGAGTGGCGGTCGTTGGTGAGTGGTCGGGCAATGTGACGGCTCTGACAGTGGATACTGTACAAAAGCCTGTTGTCAGATACGAGGTGTGAGCCCACATGGACGCCACCTGTCCTGTGTTATGGCTCCACAACAGAGTGGAGTTGGTGGGGGCTGGGGTACTGTTAGACTGTGAGGGACAAAGGGGATGTGACCCTGGGGTTGTGTCTGAGCAGGCCAAGGGCAGTAGTTGCTGGGACCCGCACAGGCAGCACATTGAAGGCAGCTTGGACCTCTGTCTGCAGCTGACTCACCATCGCGCATGCTCCATCTTTAGCAAAGAGCCCACACAGCCCCCTCTGGCTTCAGCACTTCTCCTCTCTGCAGGCTAGCGTCCCAGTGCTGGAATGTGTGCACACATAAACAGAACAGAGTCAGCTGGCATCCAACCCTCAAGGCTTCTGCCTCAGCAACTTGAGATTTGCCCCTGCCCGTGATAGGGCAGTGATGGCCAACAAGTACAGGGGAAGCCCTGCCTCACACCCAACTCCAGCCCTTGAGCCTAAATCTCCAACCCCACATACTACCACGGTGGTGGCTCAAATGCAAAGATTCTGCCTGCAATGTGGGAGAACTAGGTTCAGTCCCTGGATCTGTAAGATCCCCTAGAGAAGGAAGTGGAGCCTACTCCAATATTCTTGCCTGGAGAATTTCATGGATAGAGAAGTCTGGTGGGCTATAGTCCATGGGGTCACAAAGAGCTGGATACGACTCAGTGACTAATACTTGCACACTTTCACCACGGTGACAGAGGTCAGCAAACCTGAGGAAAGACATGGCTGGTATCCACGTCAAATCTAGCTCTCCAACCTAAGGAACCTGGCACACACAATTCATAAATGGATGTTCACACATAAGGACACTCATTCAAGATTGCAGTAGGTAACTGTTTCACCTAAATTCATATAGAGAAAATTATGCCCAGTGAGAGGGCAGAGGAACTGGTCTCAGTTGAAAGAGAGGAAAACACTGACAAAAGTAATGAAATAGATAAACTATTTACAGAATTCAAAATACTAATAATAAGTATAACTGAACTATGGAAAACAAATGAACAATAATTTTAACAAGGATCTAGAAAATATAAAATGAATTCAATCGCTAAAAAGCACATTAGAAGGAATAAATAGCAGACTAAGTGATACAGACACATAAATCATCTGAAGGATAGAATAGTGGAAATCATCCGGTGAGAATCAGTCAGTTCAGTTGCTCAGGCATGTCCAACACTTTGCAAACCCATGGACTGCAGCATGCCAGGCCTCACTGTCCATCACCAACTCCCAGAGCTTACTCAAACTCATGTCCGTGAAGTCAGTGATGCTATCCAACCATCTCATCCTCTGTTGTCCCTTTCTCCTCCTGCCTTCAATCTTTCCCAGCATCAGGATCTTTTCCATTGAGTCAGTTCTCTGCATCAGGTGGCCAAAGTATTGGGGTTTCAGCTTCAGCATCAGTCCTTCCAATGAATATTCAGGACTGATTTCCTTTAGGTTTAACTGATTTGATCTCCTTGCAGTCCAAGTGAGTCTCAAGAGTCTTCTTCAACACCACAGTTCAAAAGCATCAATTCTTTAGTGCTCACCTTTCTTTATAAACCAACTCTTACATCCATACATGACTACTGGAAAAACCATAGCTTTGACTACATGGACATTTGTTGGCAAAGTAATGTCTCTGCTCTTTAATATACTCTCTAGGTTGGTCATAGCTTTTATTCCAAGGAGCAAGCCTCTTTTAATTTCATGGCTGCAGTCACCATCTGCAGCGACTTTGGAGCCCAAGAAAATAAAGTCTCTCACTGTTTCCATTGTTTCCCCATCTATTTGCCATGAAGTGATGGGACCATTTGCCATGATCTTAGTTTTCTGAATGTTGAGTTTTAAGCCACTTTTTCACTCCCCTCTTTCACTTTCATCAAGAGGCTCGTTAGTGCTTCTTCACTTTCTGCCATAAAGGTGTTGTAATCTGCATATCTGAGGTTATTGATACTTTTCCTGGCAATCTTGATTCCAGCTTGTGCTTCCTCCAGCCCAGCGTTTCTCATGATGTACTCTGCATATCAGTCAAATAAGCAGGGTGACAATATTTAGCCTTGATGTACTCCTTTCCCAATTTGGAACCAGTCTGTTGTTTCATATCTGGTTCTAATTGTTGCTTCTTGCCTTGAATAGATTTCTCAGGAGGTTAGTAAGGTGGTCTGGTATTCCTATCTCTTGAAGATTTTCCACAGTTTATTGTGATCCACACAGTCAAAGCTTTTTCCGCAAACTTCAGGGCAACTATACCAAAAATATTCTCACGCTGTTAAGAAAGTTCTAGGACCCACAACAAATTTCCCAATCTGGGGATCTGGCAAAGGGTCTGAGACCTCCAGGGAATTTGACTTTGGAGGCCAGTGGGATTTGATTATGGAACTTACACAGGTCTGGGGAAATAGACTCTTGGAGGGCACAAACAAAACCTTGTGCACACCAGAAGCCAGGAGAAAGGAGCAGTGACCCCACAAGAGACTGACCCAGACTTGCCTGTGAATGTCTAGTAGTCTCGAGTGGAGACGTGGGTCAGTAGTGGCCTGCTGTAGGGTCAGGGACATTGAGTGCAGCAGTGCATGCATGGGACATTTTGAAGGAGATCACCATTATCTTCATTATCTTCATTACATCCACCATAATTTGATCTCAGGCCAAACAACAGGGAGGAAACAGAGCCTGGCCCATCAATAGAAAATTGGATTAAAGATTTACTGAGCATGGCCCCACCCATCAGAGCAAGACCCAGTTTCCGCCTCAGTCAGTCTCTCCCATCTGTAAGCTTCCATAAGCCTCTTGTCCTTATCTGTCAGAGGGCTGACAGGATGAAGACCACAATCACAGAAAACTGATCAAACTAATTACATGGACCAGAGCCTTGTCTAACTCAATAAAACTATGAGCCATGCCATGTAGGGTCACCCAAGACAGACGGGTCATGGTGGAGTGTTCTGACAAAATGTGGTCCACTGGAGAAGGAAATGGCAAACCACTTCAGTATTTTTGCCTCGAGAACCCCATGGACCATATGAAAAGGCAAAAAGATATGACCCTGAGAGATGAACTCCCCAGGTCAATAGGTGCCCAATATAATACTGGAGAAGAGTGGAGATATAACTCCAGAAAGAATGAAGAGATGGAGCCAAAGCAAAATCAATGCCCAGTTGTGAATGTGACTGGTGATAGAAGTAAAGTCTGATGCTGTAAAAAGCAATATTGCATAGGAACCTGGAATGTTAGGTCCATGAATCAAGGTAAATTAGAAGGATTTAAACAGGAGATGGCAAGAGTAAACATCAACATTTTAGGAATCAGTGACCTAAAATGTACTGGAATGGGTGAATTTAATTCAAATGACTGTTATATCTACTACTGTGGGCCATAATCCCATAGACGAAATGGAATAGCCCTTATAGTCAACAAGAGTCTGAAATGCAGTATTTGGGTTCAATCTCAAAAATAACAGAATGATCTCTGTTAGTTTCAAAGGCAAACCACTCAATATCACAGTAATCCAAGTCTATGCCCCAACCAGTAATGCTGAAGAAACTGAAGTTGAATGGTTCTATGAAGACCTACAAGAACTTCTAGAATGAACACCCAGTGAGAATAGCAAAACAAACAAACAAAAAAACTCTAAATGAAAACAGTTTAAGAGATCATTACTATCTTTGACAACATCAACCATAACAACACACATGTTATAGGGGTTCCAGAAGGAAAAAAAGGTAGAAGGGAATTGAAAATGTATCTGAAGAAATTATGACTTAAAACTCCCCAGACCTGAAGGAGAAAACACATCCAGGTCCAGCGAAACAAAGAGGTTTCCCAATAAGATGAACCCAAACCAAGACCCACACCAAGACATACCATTAATCAAAATGGCAAAAGTTAGAGAATTCTAAAAGCAGCAAGAGAAAAGCTCCTATACAAGGGAACCTCCATAAAGCTATCAGCTGGTTTTCCTGCTAAAACATTGCAGGCCAGAAGGGAGTGGCATGGTATATTCAAATTGCTGAAAGGGAAAAATCTACAACCTGGAATTCTCTACCCAGAAAGACTATCATTTAGAATCAAAGGAGAGAGAGAGAACTCAAAGAAGCAAGCATGAGAAGAGTTTAATACCCATGTGCATGCATGCATGCAAAGTTGCTTCAGTTTTATCAGACTTTGTGCGACCTTATGGACTTCAGCCTGCCAGGCTCCTCTGCCCATGGGATTCTCCAGGCAAGAATACTGAAGTGGGTTACCATGCCCTCCTCCAGGGGATCTTCTTGTCACAGGGATCAAACCCATGTCTCTTACATCTCCTGTATTGACAGGCAGGTTCTTTACGACTGGTGCCACCTGGGAAGCCCGTTCAACACCTAACTTACCCTAAAAGAAATGTTGAAATGCATTCTCTGAGTGGAAAAGAAATAAAATATAGAAAAGGAAAAATCCCACTAGGAAAGGCAAATATATAGTAAGGACTGATGGCCAACCACTTAAATAAGCTAGTATGAATATTAAAAGATAAAAAATTATAGAAGCAATTATAACTACAATAAACAGTTATAATAAACATGAAGATGTGAAATATGACCTCAAAAACACAATGTAGCTCAGAGTCAAATTATCTAGATCTTCATCTTGTGTCCTCCATTTCCTTGCTCTGTCAATTAGGAAAGAAGTATTATTCTGTGCCTTGGTCTTCACCTTTTTACTGTGGAAACTACTTGCAATGGACAGTTATTTACTTATTTTGATTGCAAAAGTCTTTGCACTTAAAAAATTCCACTCATGACAGCAACTTAGATACCTGAATCAGATAAATCCAAAAGATTATTTCAATAATAATATTATTGTTTACATATGCTGACTGTTATTACAGGAAACTCATGCCTGTGATTCTATTCTAAGGAATAATTAGGTGTCTCAAAATGTATGTCACAAATTTTTCATCACAGTAGTACTTATGATGAAAATTAGGAACATTAAATTTCCAGTAATAAGCTATGATTTAACTACATCAAGATAAGTACAAAATGGGATTCCCAGGTTTCTCAGTGTTAAAGACTCTGCCTGCCAATGCAGGAGACATGGGTTCAATCCCCTGGAGAAGGAAATGGCTACCCACCCCAGTATTCTCACCTGGTAAATTCCATGGACAACAGAGCCTGGACAGTCCATGGGGTCACAAAGAGTTGAACATGAATGAGTGATTAACTCTTCCACTTTTCATTAACAAAAATAACCCAGTACTTTAAATATATCCTAGTTAGAGTTAATGTAAAAGTTTATAATCCAGCCTCCTTTTGTGAATTCTGGATAAAGTCATTACATAGCAGAGCAAGTACTTGGTATAGATGGAGGGCAGCACATCCTGAAGGCATAAGACTGAGCTTTATAACCATTTGAATTATTTTTAGACCAATCAGTTATTGATAGTATATCAACTTATTAAATTACAGTGATTTCTGGCAACAGTTTTTTAAAAGGTAAATTCATTAGTCAATTCAGGTAACACATTTATCCTGTTTCCTAAAACCTCATATTTTACAATTACTAACCTGAAGTTACTGATAATTTTATCAATTTGCATAAATAAACCACTCTATCAAACTTCCCATACTTACTGAGTTCACAACATTTTTACATAGTTGGAAATAAATTGTTTGTCTGTGTATGTAAAGCCCACTTTAGTAATTCACTGGAGGGAGAAAAAAGTGTTCTCCTCACTGTGGCAGATATGTTTGTTCTTATTTCAAGTCATCTAAATTCTAAAGCTTATTGTACACTACCAATCTTGTTTCTATGGTTACCATGGAAAATAAAAATGCATATTGTTACACACAAATCCACTATTTAAAGAATGACCAAAAAGGTTAAGAAACCATACATGCCTTTCCATTATTTTTAACCTAGGTCATCACAAGATTAGAGGGACAAAGGATAAAGTGAGAAGTGAAAGTCAAAAAGGAAAACTAAAAAAAACAAAAATAAAATGTACACAGAAATCTTTGAACACAGTATTAAACTATTATACCCTCCAAGGACATAAAGCACACAGCGTGTATGTGTGTGTGCCCATGTGTGCGTGAGTATACTTTAAAACCATGTAAATCGATAGGAAGGAGCAAGTTTGATAGAAAGACTGTGAGTTTTAAAGATGACCTTCTGCAGTATAAACCTGGAAAAAAAATAAATTTTGCTTCTCCAATCATTAAAATAAAGCTGAATTCTTATTTATCATTATTTCAAAGTTAAAAGATTATAAAACAGAACTTTTGAATGTATCATTAAGTGCTATAGAATAAAAAACACAATATTGTGAATTTGTATTTTAAAAATCAAGATGAAGTTACACGCTATCAGTTCAGTTCAGTTCAGTCACTCAGTCATATCCAACTCTTTGTGACCCCACGGACTGCAGCACACCAGGCTTCCCTGTTCATCACCAATTCCCGGAGCTTACTCAAACTCATGTCCACTGAGTCAGTGATGCAATCCAACAATCTCATCCTTTGTTGTCCCCTTCTCCTCCCACTTTCAATCTTTCCAAGCATCAGAGTCTTTTCAAATGAGTCAGTTCTTCACATCAGGTGACCAAAGTATTGGAGTTTCAGCTTCAGTATCAGTCCTTCCAATGAATATTCAGGACTGATTTCCTTTAGGTTTAACTGGTTTGATCTCCTTGCAGTCCAAGTGACTCTCAAGAGTCTTCTCCAACACCACAGTTCAAAAGCATCAATTCTTCAACACTCAGCTTTCTTTATAGTCCAACTCTCATATCTATACATGACTACTGGAAAAATCATAGTCTTGACTAGATGGACCTTTGTTGGCAAAGTAATGTCACTGCTTTTTAAAATACTGTCGGGGTTGGTCGTAGCTTTTCTTCCAAGGAGCAAACCTCTTTTAATTTCATGGCTGCAGTCACCATCTGCAGTGATTTTGGAGCCCAAGAAAATAAAGTCTCTCACTGTTTCCATTGTTTCCCCATCTATTTGCCATGAAGTGGTGGTACCGGATGCCATGATTACTTAGTTTTCTGAATGTTGAGCTTTAAGCCAACATTTTCACTCTCCTCTCTCACTGTTATCAAGAGGCTCTTTAGTTCTTCTTTACTCTCTGCCATAAGGGTGGTGTCATCTGCATATCTGAGGTTATTGTTATTTCTCCCAGCAATCTTGATTCCAGCTTGTGCTTCATCCAGCCCGGCATTTTGCATGATGTACTCTGCATATAAGTTAATTAAGCAGGGTTATATTCTGTATTAGATGTTAAAATGTGAGGGCAAGGAAAAATGCAGTCCAAGAGAAACAAAAAGAGATCAAAGGAGATAAGTTGTCACACTGAAGACACATGCCACAGAGCTTTCAAAATCATTTTAAAATGTGTTACTAGAAACACTATTTATATTGTCAAATGCTGGAGTGCATTGCCGGGAGATATCACACGCTGTTTTGATAAAAATAAAAGCCAAATATGAGCCAAATATCCACTACTTAATAAAACAGAGAAGAAACATTTCCTATGACCCTAAAATTCCCCCCAAAAGGGTTATGAAGGCAGCACTTCCATGATAATGATGAATTGGAATGACATGATCTCAGGCAAGTGGCTAAGTTATAGAGAATTCTATAGCGATCAAAGGAAGCACAACTTGAAGGCATAAAACTTAGCTCTCTAACCATTCTAATTATTCTTAAACCAATCATCTATTGATAATGATAATTATTAAATTACAGTGATTTCTGACAACAACTTTTAAAAAGATAGTCCATTAGTTAATTCAGGTAATGCATTTATCTTAAAATGCATTATCTTAAAACCTTATATTTTATAATTACTAACCTGAAGTTACTGAAAATTATATCAGCTTGTATCAACAAATTGCCCTACTCTTCAGCAGTTGATACATAAGGAGTTACATGTTTTGCTTTATAAAATTACTCTATGAGTACAAATTAAAAAGAATGATTCTATGATACAATATCATTTATGTAGAATAAACAAAGGTACAGATACCCATGGACAAACTTGTGGGAGGAATCTAAATGCGAAAAAGGCTGAGTGGGCAGAGGAGATAGATGGGAGAGGAAGGCTTTAAGTATGTTAATGATGACAAAGGAAATTGATTGAGTCAACACTCAGCTGTCTGTCCTATAGTTAAAGAAAAGGAGCAATAATGATAGTATGTCACAGGTGCTTTTGAATTTTTGAAGCTCAATTATTGTAAAGAAGTATTTCAGTATCTAAGGGTTGACAAAGCTTTCAAGCATACCTATAATGAAAAGACTTAGCTGTTAGATCTTTTTAATTTCCTTAGCTAATGTTTACTAGACTGGTAATGTTATATCTGGTACAATTATATCTTTTTACAAGCTAGGTGCATTCATTTTAAAATAGCTGTGTTTCTCCCTAAAAATAAAACTACAAAGTTTAGTAGCCATAGAACTTAAAGACATTGAATATCCTCATCCTGGTTGAGAACATGTCAAAGGATCCTATATGATAAGATTCACTGTGTAATAAATATCTATATTTCTATCCATTTGCTGAAAAACTCCCTTTGCTTTCTAAGTAAAAAATACTATACCTGGAAGGAAATCATATTCTAGTCTGGAATATTTTTACTTGGGTGCCAAACATGACAATGCTAAAATATGGAGGAGATTTGACAGTTTGTTTACATCAATGTAATAGTTCCTCAGCTTTTTATTAGTAGCTTTGAATTTCACTAAGACCAAAGAAAAATGAGTGTATATGAAAATATGAAAGTAGGTAATTACTGAAAAAACAGGAACAAGTACAATTCCTGCCTTCAGGGACCTAATTCCCTCATGAAAAATACCAGCTAGGAAGCAGATGTCTTTAGTATAGTGATTTTATACCATGATGAGGAGGACATAATGTAGTACATTATGTAAGAGTTCACAATCTTAGGTTATTTTAGTTTGCTCTGAAAGAAAGAGATACTATTCTGAGATTTGAGGAGTAAGTTTAATATATCCAGGTGATGGGAGGGACAAATATATTCCTAGAAAAGGAAAAATAAAGTCATCTATAAATACACATAAAGACAGAGCACAGTTCATTCTGTGAACTGCAGTTCCTTCAGTATGGCAGGATATATGAAATGAAGGAAACGAGATAAGCAGGGTCCCGATATTGAAGAGCTTTGGATCACTGAATAATAGGACTTTACACTGGAGGCAGTGAAAAGTCATTTAAGCATGACACTGGGATGATTAAATGGTGTATCAGAAAATCAACTTTCTATCTGGAAAATTAATAGGAAGGGAGATTTATTAGGAGACAAGGAGATCTATTAAAATAGGCATGCATATCCTGAGTAAAGAAAGAAAATAAGCATGGGAAAGCAAAACTGTACAGAGAGTAACAAGATAGGTGGTTGTCAGGGGCTGAGGAGGAGGGAAGGTTAAGTAGGTAAAGCATTGGGCGTTTTTAGGGCTTGAAGCTACTCAACATTACAATGGTGGATGCAGGTCATTATATACTTGTCAAAGCCCACTGCATTTAAAACACCGAAGATGGGCCTTCATGTAAGCTGTGAACTTTAAGTGATAATGATGTGCCAGTGTAGGTTTACCAATGGTAACAAATGATGCACTGTGGTCAGGATGTCAATAGTGGGGAAGATTGTGGGTGTCTTAGAGATAAGGGGTGTAACAGAATGCTCTGTACTTTTCATTCATATAGCTGTGAGCAGGTAAGTGCTCTAAAAATAAAAGTTTTTTGGCTAAAAACTGCAGTAGAGATGTAAAGAAAGGACATATTTGAGAGTTTGTAAGAACTAGAAAGCAATAGAAATTGTAGAATGATCAAAAATGGGTGAACATAGGAGAAGTGAAAGTATCACTCAAGTTTCTCACTCAAGAGTGTGAAGTAAGGCATTACATTAACTGTAAAACTTTCAGTGGTAAATGGAAGTGAGGAGGAAAAGCATGTTAGGGGAAGAGGTTTGTGAGCAATAATTATTTCTGATTGTACTGAGTCCTTGCAACTCATTAGGCAATGCAGTCTAGATGGCTGGAAAACAGTGTCAGGCAGAAGCCAGCCACCTGAGGCCAGAACCCCAAAAAAGCAACCTACAAATGTGAGCATGTTTACATTGTCTGGACCACACATTACACAGTCTGGTCAAGTAACACAGATTTGTATTATGATGTTGGTATTAGTCATAGCATCCCCTCCCTGATATCTGGAGTATATATGTAAATAGAGAAAGAAGACAAATACCTAATTTCCTACTTAGATATGTGTTACTATGTTACTGAGTGATGTTAGTCACTCAGTCATGTCCAACTTTTTGTCAGACTGTAGCCTGCCTTGGCGCCTCTGTCCACAGAATTCTCCAGGCAAGAATACTGGAATGGGTTGCTATTTCCTGGTGACCTCTAATAAACCATCCTTATTAGTAAAACCCTTGTATCAGAACACTTAAGAGTAAGCCAAAATGGAGGGAAGTTTGGAGTGAGAAACGTTCTTTTATCAAAGGGAGATTAAAATAAAATGATAGGAACTTCTCTGGTGGTTCAGTGGCTGACTCTATATTTCCAATGTCTGGGTTCAATCCCTGGTCAGGGTAATAGATCCCACATGCTGCAACTAAGACCTGACACAACCAAATAGATAAATATTTTTAAAAACAAATAAAATGACACTCTGCACCATCCCTGTGGCAACAAAATGGCCATTTATCACTACTATACTATGTGTGCTTGTCCTGTTTACATGTGTGTTTGC